AGGATGCATATATACGATATGTATATACATACACACGTACATACATATATATATATATATATTGTAACTTTAATCTACTCTTCATGCATCGGCCTCGGAGTCGTCCGGAATCGACACCCCACCAAGCCTGCCACACAATGTCGGCCTATAAGTTATATGTTTCGAATTCCCTGTAAACCAAATATACCCTGAACCTTATAAGCTCTAGTATAATTATTCGATCATTATATGATGTCCCCCAGGACCATCAGCCGCAGATCCGCAGAGGTGATCATGTGCATGGTCGGCAGCCTGCGAAGCAGTCACACAAATCGGCTTATAAATTATGCTTCCTAATTAAATGATGAACCTTGCTTCTTATTCCATCACCTCGTCATGTCCATCGGCCGTGTCGGCACTCGCAGACGACCAAGCTGCCTGGGAAGCAAGCAAATCGGCTTATAATTTATAATATCGTATTTTCCTGAAACTAAGTAACATGAACCTTCTTATTCTATAGCCGTCCGAATCTCGTTCAAGCTTGACCTTATGCAGTCCCTCGCCCACGCCGCCGGTATGTAGTCCTTCCCCCACGGTGTGGTCGGCATCGGGGATCGAGATGTTGTTCGGCTCGGGATAGGAAGCCTGCGAAGCATCATAATATATATATATATATATATATTATGCTAAACCTGTGCATAAAGCAATACATATATAAATATATATATATGTATGTACATATCCTTCGATCTTATAACCGTCTAAGGAGAACGAGCCCTGCAGGTGTATTTTGTAAATGTAATACATGCATAATTATATTTTGTATGCATATATATATATATATATATGTTTTTATCAAATAGAAATTATATATATATATATATATAACATTCACTGTATTGTGCTCGGCCTCAGCTCCGTGGTCATCATGTCGACAATGGCCCCCGGGCTTGCCGGGATGGGATCAGGATGCGGGAATCAAAAGTTGCTGGGAGCCAACCACGCAAATCGGCATTCACATTTATATAATAAACAAATCAAAATAAAATAAATAAATAAATATATATATATATATATAAATCCTGACCCCTATAGCTTTAATTATAACAACACCAGTTTATACATACATACATAAATACATATATATATATATATATATATCGGAATGCTGCCATCGTGCCCTAAAGTGAAAGAATGAATGAACGAATGAATTATGAATAAGCGAATGAAGGAATTTGGAAGTGAAGCCGGGTCACGGTCTCCATTCATATATATCAAGAGGTCGCGGGCAATGTGAGCAGTACTGAGCACATGCGGAGGGCAGATGGCAGCATATTGGTTAAATGGTAGCGTAGCTCAAGGGTTTATATATGTATATATGTGTACATCTATATGTATATATCGGCTACGTACTAGCGTACCAGTAGTAGTACTGCTCGCTGCTGCTGGCGGTTTTCTGCTGCTGCCAACACACACGCACTGACGAAAAACGAAGCAGTGCCTGTGACGCTTTTTAATTTGTGACATATATATAGATATAGATATAGATATAGATATAGATATAGATATAGATATAGATATAGATATAGATATAGATTTGTTGATCCCTGAAAAGATCAATATATATATATATATGTGTATTACACACATATATCCAGAATATATATATATATATATCCACACATTGCATTATAGCTGGGCTCCCAACACCTTCGGCCGGCCATCGCGACGGACTCCGCGACGCACCGTTCCTCTTGAATTCCAGCCAAACTTCTCCTGGTCCCCGTACTTGATTCGCGAAGCCACAGAGAGATTTGCAATCCAAGGCCTCACGCGATGGTATTATATATTATAATATGTATATATATATATATGTATTAATAATATTTTATATGTGTGTCTGTAAATATATATATATATATATACTTTGGAAAATTCCCAGTAAGATATATACTGCTGTGCAGTAGAGCAACACTGTGCCGAAGACCACGGATCTCTTCACTGTTCTCGAACCAAACTTACCCATCCAACTTGGCTGAATAAAGGCGATCAGAGATACAGTGTTCAGACAACTACAATGCAAGAACATGTATAGATCATATTGCAGTGCCGGCAAGCAACAACCGAACCATGTACGATCTCGGAAAAAGGCCCGGGATGACGGTAGGAGCAACATCGCAAATCCACTTCATCTCTGGAAGATGTGGCAAGACACTGGAGCCTGGCTGCTCGATCATCCACCATACACGCCTGGCCATCGCCACCAGGCATCCCAATGCTGAACGAGCTGCCGTCATATTCCCAATGCGGCATGCTTTCACCGAGAGATCCCCTTTTGGACGCTCTATCGTCTTCTTCGTGGTAGAGGAGCACATCCAAACATGTGCACTACATGGTGTGCCCATGCACATAAACGCCCCCGGCTTCAACCGAAGAATCGATTGCAACAGGACCATAAAGCCTGGCCTCCAGCATCGAACAACACACTGATCATTGCAACTTTAAACACAACTGTTATTCATGCGAAGTTGCATTGTGTTAACGTCATGGTGGCGATGGATGCATGTGTCCACACGGGAGGAGCGGAAGCCCCTTCGGCCTCGGAAATTCATTTATTATATATATATATATAATTCTGATCTGCGGGATCATGAAGATTGCAATTGCAGCCCGAGCACGGAAAGCCCGGTGGACACCACCCCATAGAACATTGAAATCACTGAAATGCATGCTGACATGTGTTTTTGGTCCTTACTAGAAGTACATAACAAAATTCGAGACGAGGCTAAGGAGTGTATTCAAAGCCCAAGATGTTGACTCATCTCTTGTATATGTAGGATCTGCGACTATATATTTCTTTATTTATTTAGTTACAATATATACTTTCTATTATCATACATATATATATATATGTATGTATATATATATATATGTATATAAATATATAATATGTCTGACCACGAAGCCGTCACGAAACCCAACCTGGGAACCCACTACACATGTAGTGTTGGGGGGTTGCAGTTTTTTGGTTTTAAAGTCGAGGTGGGAAGACGAACAGACTCTCTGGCACCCAGGCCATGGTATCATGTCGAGTTTGCAGAATCTAGCATATCACTGGGCATCTTGTTTAAACTTCTCGAGTCCTCGCACTCTCGCCCCCCTAGTTTGTTCCCTGCCTTGTCCGTGAACTCCTTGCTACTCAGGTGGACGATGTAGTCAAGGATGTGAATCCTGGGCGGGCACGAACACATGTACTGCAATACGGTATGCACATAATATATATATATATATACACATATATATATATATATATACATACATGCAAGCAAGAGTCAGAAGTCCTGGAGCTCCGAGGGCCAAGAGCACCGCAACGTCAACTTTCGACAGTGTGAGTACCATGTCGGGATACGCCGAAACCAAATAAAGCTTCACACACACGCACACGGCTGGGCCACAGGACTGCGAGCAAACATTTACATGGACAGCTGACGTGATATTAATAGCATGGACCTCTATATAATATATATATATATATTTATTTATTTATTTATATTTATATTTATATCTATTTATTTATCCTAGCTTTCAAGAGGCTTTGCACCGGCACTTCCACCTGCTGGCTGTGAAGCAGCTCTCAAAGCATGCACGTGTGGCCTAACGGGACATGTACAAGCTTTAAATTTACGACAAACTGCTAGCGCTGGATCTGAATATTATTTTTTGCAGCTGCACCCCTTCCAGCGCGAAGTTCACACTTCAGAAGCGGATCGGATTAGGGATCAGCACGATCCTATTGACTTAAAGAGTGCAAAACACGCAACCCGGACACCACAATATGGCCCCTCGTTATATATATATATATATATATATGTATATATATATATATGTATGTTAACACTGTGTCCCAGCCCGTGCTTTCGATTCAAAAGCAGAAACTGCTGAGCTAATTGCAGCAGTCTCTAGGATCTCGTCTTGAGGAGGGCCTCCTTCTCGTCTTCGAACTCGTCGTAGACTTGGAAGTAGTCGACACCATCCTGAAGCTTCCTGGCCTTGCAATATTTTATTTAAATCATGAGATAGGCTGGGGCACTTATAAATCAGCACTTACTACATGCGAATTTTATAAATGATATTATATAAAATTAAATATATATACATATATAAATATTCTACTCTACAAGCTTTGCAACGATTAAATCATATATATATATATATCAAACCAGGACCGGGAAGTACTACCAAGGAAATTAAAGCCGGCCGGGGTGGGTTTTAAAACACTAAATTGCATGCTAGCGGCTGCATTGATGCATACGTTGACGACCGCACGCATCTGCTCTTCGTCGAGATCGGTGCCACCGACAATGTGCAAGACCTGTACATGTAGCAGCGCCAGTGGGTGGACATTTACCTAGCTATATATATATATACATATATATATATACAGAGATGTGTGCCACAATACGTATACCATGTAGAGATGTGATCCATGTCAACCGACGCTGCATGTACACACACATATATATATATATATATCGTATTATAATGTATATATATATATGGAGATATATCTCACACATAAGCATATATATATATATATCCAATATTATAATACTACTGAACCGACTGATTGATCCTGAGGTGTGAGGTGTCCACGACAGGGGTATCCAGGGTCCAACCCTCGGGATAATTGCAATAGGTGAAAAGGATTATATATAGAGGCTGTGTAATAATAATAATAGTATATAATCATATATATATATATATATATGTATAGTATATATTGGTATACTTATGCCCTGAACCGATTATCGTAGACATATATATATATATAGTGTATATATATATATATATATACTTGCCTGCTTCTTCTTGCCGCCTTTCTTGCGTGTGACTCCACAGCAGCAGCGGTTCCAATATGGCATCACCTTGCAATTGTACACGCAGGCTGTAGATATGATAATGGGGCTTGGGGGTTTCCGCATAGCTAATCATACTTCCTATAGGTCGACGATATAATCGACTGTATACGGCTGGGTAGAGTCGAAGTCTTCAAATACGGGGATGTCGATATTGTACTCGTTCTTCTTTGTGCGACGCTTCTTAGCAGCAGGCTCGATCTGATCATCCGGCTTCTCATCCCCGGGCCCTTTCGCGGCTGCTTGCTCATCCGGCTTCTCATCCCCGGGCCCTTTCGCGGCTGCTTGCTCATTCGGCTTCTCATCCCCAGGCCCTTTCGCGGCTGGCTCATTCGGCTTCTCATCCCCGGCCCCTTTCTCGGCTGGCTCATTCGGCTTCTCATCCCCGGCCCCTTTCTCGGCCGATCCCCGCTTAGCCTTGCCCTTGGCCTTGGCCTTTGGAGCACTGTCTCCACGGCCCCGGCCACGGCCCCGACCCCGGGACGACTGCTGCTTCTGGGCCGCAGCTTTGGCTGCAGCTCGCCTCAGATCTAGCACTACCGCTAATAGTTAAATAAATTCTAGAATTATAAATATACCTATATATCCAGACTTATAAATATCTATTTAGTTTTGTACATATTCTAAACCCTAAACCCTAAACCCTAAACCCTAAATGTAGCTATATATATATATATAGATAGGAAATTGCAAACAAACCACAGCTTGGTCTGCACAGCCGGGAGGTCTTCACAATCAAACGCAGCTTCCACAGCCTCACCGGCGAAGGGACGGTCACCATCCCAGTCAGGACGTTCACGAATCAAGGGTCCGTCGTCTGCCTCGAAACACACATTGGACCGGACGATATATATATATATATCGAGCATTGCAGTCTATAGGGGTTCGCATAATGGGAGGATCCGGAGTTCGGGAACAAAGTACAAAACAAGCAACGTCTTCATGGCAATTCCATGCCACTTATATATATATATATGCCCATAAATCTACAGCTATTAATTAATAAGCCAACTAATGGTTTGGGTTTTCGGGTTTCTATAGGATTTAAGAAAGGTTTAGGGTTTATTTAGAAGGCTTTATGAAGGGTTTAGGGTTTTAGGGCTCACAAAAGGCTTCGGGTTTAAAAAGGCGGCCTCTGGGCACCTGTAGGGTTTCTTAGATATACACATATCGTTTGGGGCTTTAGGGTTTAGAACGGGTGGGTTTGACGAGAAGTGGGCTTGAGGGTTTCTGCGGCTGTCGAAGCCTATACCCTAGACCCTAAACCCTAATATACAAATATACAATCATAATATCGTGTGCCTTAGGCTAGGGGTGTTCTGAAGCGCATAAGATCCTGGGCAGTATAGTGTACTTATAATATATTTAAGGCCGGAGGGGGGTTCTGGTGTATTATTCTTATATATATATAATCTGTTTCAGCTAATAACTATAATATACTATAAATGAAACATCTTATTGTAATCTACATATTTTTATAAATATATTCATCTATACTAATTTGTAATAGCGTGAGCCTTCTCGGCAGTGCGGACTGGATCAGCCGTCGTCGCCCCCTGCACATGCACAGATCTAGGCCTTAAGGGCCCCCTTCCACCCGGTCTTATACCCCCCTTCACCCTCCCCGCTAACGCTGGTGGTCTGATCATGTCGCAAAAACCTATATATATATATATTTATATTTATATTTATATTTATATTTATATTTATATTTATATTTATATTTATGATTATATATAATATTATTACTCTATATAGATTATCATATATACATGTATAATTCTCATAATCCACATGTGTGTATATATATATATACCGATTAAGGGAGCCTGCATGCCCGACCCAAAAGTGCGAACGGTTATCTACGAACCTCATCGCAGGTTTATGGCTTCGGAGTACAGGCTTTTAGCGGGGACGGGGCTCGGGGGTCATATCACGTTTAATGGGGATTTAGGGATTGACATTTGAATCGAAACATGGTAGATCCCAGAACCCAGAACGGTTACCCACCAGGACAATCAATATACATATATATATATATATATATATATGCTGCTAATCAATGAACCGGTACCACTAGGAACATGTTGAAGCTCGAGACTCCTATACAGGAACATGTTGAAGCTCGAGACTCCTATACATACATATATATATATATATCTTAGTTTTATTATATTTATGCATGCAAGCTGCATGCTATCATATATATATATATATATTGATATATATATATATATGTATGTATATATAAAAACCCAAACACTTGCAACCCCTGTATAGCCCTTAACCCGGAAACACTTAGTACATGTGGCCTTCTCGGCCATGCGGTCTGCCCCATCTGTAGCCATCGACACCTGCACGCAGCCGAGAGAGGGACGGAGGAGAGATAGTTACACAGCTTATAATTTAGTATTAATGTTGATTGTACGTGTTGTTGGTGTATGGGTCGGGTTATGGGTCGGGTTGTTTTTGTCGTTGCTGTGTATCGTTTTTCCGACAAATGCAAGCATGTACATGCATGTACTACATCTGCGATATGTGTGCGCGCTGCAATATATACGTATGCATGCTTTGCAATTGGGCCGGCCTCATGGATGGCTGGACCATCCACAGGGAACGGGTTCTGGGAATCTTCCGAACACGTGTATCGTTTCGAATACGTGTACATATCATCGATATCGGTTTCTTCCTCACCCTTCGCGAAGCACGCCTCCGCGGCTGCGACCGTCGGCTTCTGGTGCCCTGCACACTCTGTAGACTCCACGGCAATCTCCGTCTCGGCACACTCGACCGTCGGCTCGTTCGGAATCTCCTTTGGGGTTTAGGGTTGGGGGGGTTGGGGGTTTATAATTATATTTTGGGCTCGGCACAATCGAGGACTCCTTCTGGTCCTCTGCACACTCGGCCTCTGTAGACTCCACGGCAATCTCCGGCTTGGCACACTCGACAGTCGGCTCGTTCTGGGGAATCTCCTTTGGGGTTTAGGGTTGGGGGGGTTATAATTAGATTTTGGGCTCGGCACCATCGAGGACTCCTTCTGGGGCTCTGCACACTGGGTCGCCTCTGTAGACTCCACTGCAATCTCCTGCTCGGCACACTCGACATTCGGCTCGTTCAGGGGAATCTCGTTTGGGGTTTAGGGTTGGGGCTTGGCGGTTGATAATTAGATTTTGGGCTCGGCACAATCGAGGGCTCCTTTTGGGGCTCTGCACACTCGGTCGCTGTAGACTCCACCGCAATCGACTCCTGCTTGGGACACTCGACAGTCGGCTCGTTCGGAATCTCCTTTCGGGTTTAGGGTTGGGGGGGTTGGGGGTTTATAATTATATTTTTGGCTCGGCACAATCGAGGACTCCTTCTGGGGCTCTGCACACTCGGTCGCTGTAGACTCCACCGCAATCTCCGGCTTGGCACACTCGACGACAGTCGGCTCGTTCTGGGGAATCTCCTTTGGCGTTTAGGGTTGGGGGGTTTATAATTATATTTTGGGCTCGGCACAGTCGATGACTCCTTCTTGGGCTCTGCACACGTCGCCTCTGTAGACTCCACGGCACTCTCCTGTTGAAGCTCGGCACACTCGACAGTCGGCTCGTTCAGGGGGTTTAGGGGTTTGGGGGTTGTTTTTGGATCGGGCTATGCCATGGCTCCGTTTAGGGCCTCCTAAAAATGTAGCGCTCGGCACAGTGGTGTTCGAATTCGGGGATTATATATGTGATCGGGTCGGATCAACATATACGTAATAAGGCGTATTCATTTTTTAGGGTTACCTTATAATTATAGATATAAAAAATATATATATATATATATGAAGAATTCATATAGTTATATATATAGGTGTTATTAGAATCTTATTGTTTTTTGTTGTTGTTTCTGTTGCACCGGTACATATGTCCTTTCGGGCTTAGGGTTTTCGGGTTCAGGAACGTTAACAGTCGCAATCTCCTTCTGGGTTCGGCACACACTTATTCACGGGTCAAGTCTATATTGCAGTGCGCAAGTCGGGTCGTGTTCGAGTTTGGGGTTTAGGGATTTCTAGTATTACTATATAATAATATGGTTACAACAAGCCAAGTTAAGGCTTTAGGCGACAGCCTTGCAATCAGAGCGACCAGGGTCCTGGGTTTAGGGTTTGGGTTTTTTTTATTGGGCTAACCCTGCTGGCTCCTTCTGAAGCTCTAGAGACGACTCCGCGGCATGCGCAGTCTCCTCTGGGTGTATCGAGGTTTAGGGTTAGGGTTGGGGGATATTATATAATTAGGGATATATACATCTCGAGTGTCTCAAAGGCTCAGCCGACTCCACATTCATGCAGAATCCTTATTTCGCGGCTCGGCACACTCGGCTTTATACGTCCTCGTTTATGACATGTACGTGTCGGCTCAACCGTCGATCGATGTTTAGGGTTGGGGTAATTTGGGCATTTGGGGTTTGTCTCCACGGCTCCTTCTGGGGCTCTGGACGATCCACCATCGGCTCCACAGTCGACTCCGTTGCAATCTCCTTTGGAAATTGTGGGCTTTCGATAAGATTTGAGGGTTTAGGGTTTGGGGGTTGGAGTTTGAGGTATAGCACTTGGCGCTGGGCACACACACACACACACACACTCCTTCTGGGACTCGGCACACTCGATCTCATATGATCATGATCATGGGTCGAATCCAGGGATGGGGGCACGGCAAATAAATAAATATATATATATATATATATTTGAATATATATTGTGGGCTCAACACATTGGCTCAACTGTCGAATCCCGTAACACTAATATTAGTGTTTTAAGGCTCCGGATCCTGCGCATGCACGGCCCCCTCCTCCACTTCCTCTTCCGGCTCCATTGAGCAGTCCGGCTCGGCATCCTCGATCTCGGGCTCGTCCACCGGCTCCGGCTCCGGATCCACTGAGCCGTCCGGCTCAGCACTATCGATATCACCGTCGACCCTACCAGGCTCCGGCTCCGGAGTTTCTGTGTTTGCACTAACCAAAGCCAAGATATCTTTGAGATGCTGGATCTCCGGGGTCCTGCATCTACGGAAGGGATTATATTGTAAAAAAATGCAGCTTGCGACATGGATGTCATAATATTCGTATATGTATATATATATATATACAGAAATGTGTGTATACACATATATTATGAACTGGCTGCTAACCCCTGGAACCGAATACTAGACCCAGCTTCAAGCCGGAGTCACCAAGAAGAACACCAAAATCCCAAAGTCCTGGAGCGGTCAGGCGTTCTGCGATAAAGCCGAATTCCGTACATGGCCCGCAACCGTAGGGAGCCTGCCTGGAGATCCACCCAGGCCTGCAAGAGCACGCGTGCTATATAATATATAGAGTGTATGATCACGTAGATTATATATATATATATATAAATATATAAATCATACTGTAACTACTACTACTACTACTACTACTACTACCCGTCTGTAACCAGACGGTAAACCCCTAATATCGCGTCTGTAACCAGACGCCTAAGCCTAACACTACCCGTCTGTAACCAG